TTAGTGATTTATGCACATATGCACCCAGACCTCTCTGCTCCTACACACCCTTTAGAAAAGTGCCTTTCTCACTGTTTCTCCATGTTCTTTCTACCAAAGTGCATTGTCTGCATTAAACTTATTCTGACACCTACCTGCCCACTCTAACTTGTCCTTTTGGAGATCTACACCATCCTCCTCACACTTTACAATTCTTCCAAGTTTCAAGTCATCTACAAACTTTGAAATTGTCCCCTGCACACTAAGAGCTCGATCATTAATATATATCAGGAAAAGCAATGGAATCAATACTGAATCCCGGAGAACTTACTAAAAACCATCTTTCAGCCTGAAAAGTATCCATTGAAAAATATCCATTCACCATTACTCTCTGCTTCCTATTGCTCAGCCAATTTTGTAAGAATGTGCTACTGTCCCTTTTATTCAATGACCTATAACTTTCCTCACAAATCTGTTGTATGGCACTGGATCAATCATATTTAGGAAATCCATCAACAGAATTACTTTCATCAGCCCTCCTTGTTATCTCTTCCAAAAACTCCAGCAACTTAATTAAACGCTACTTTCCCTTTTGAAATCCATGCTGATTCTTCCAAATTAACCCACATCTATCCATGTGACTATTAACTCAGTGCTGAATAACTTCCTAGAAAACTCTCCACCAGTGAAGTGAAATTGGCTGATTTGTATTTGCTCGGCCCCTTTCAACATTTTTTGAAGAAGGGCATAATGTTTGCAATTCTCCAGTTTTCTGTCACTTCCCTTGAGTCTTGGGAAGACTGAGAGATTGTGGTTGGTGTCTATGCTTTTTCCCTCTCTCAAGTCGTTCAAAATTCTTGAATGCATCTCATCTAGACCTGGTTCCTTGTCAACTTTACATACTGACAGCCTATCCAATATCCTTCCCAATTTTAAACCATTCTAAATGACTGAGTTTTCTTCTCCATCACCAGAGCCTGGGCAGCATCTCACTTCTCAGGAAAGGCAGATGCAAACTATTCATTTAACACTTCAGCCATGCCTCTTGCTTCCATGTGTAAACCTATGTTTTGGTCCCTAATCAGCCTCCTCCTTTTTTTTTAAACCACCTTTCTGACTAGTTATGTGCCTATAGAAAATATTGGGACTTCCCTTCAAGTTAACTTCTAGTGTCTTTTCATAATCCCTCTTTGCTTCAATTCATTGTTTTTACACCTCCCTTCTGAACCGTCTGTACTCCTCTTGGTTCTCAATGGCATTTTCTACCCCCAACATCTGACATTGTAATCTCCATTTCCTTTCTCATCTGGGAAGTAGAGTCATAGACATGTACAGCATGGAAACAGACCCTTCGGTCCATCTCATCCATGACCAGATACCCTAAATTAATCTAGTCCCATTTGCCAGCATTTGGCCCACATCCCTCTAAACCCTTCCTGTTCATGTACCCAGATGCTTTTTAAATGTTGTAATTATACCAGCCTCTACCACTTCCTCTGGCAGCACATTCCATACACACACCACCCTCTGCATAAAAAAGTTGCCCCTCAGGTCCCTTTTAAATCTTTCCCTTCTCACCGTAAACCTATGTTCTCCAGCTCTGGATTCCCCTACCCTGGGGAAAAGACCTTGACTATTCATCTTATCCATGCCCCTCATGACCCCATAAGGTCAGCCCTCTGACGTTCTCTGGGTTTGTTTGCCCCATCCTTCCCTTTTGAAATATTATACTTCACTTATGCCCGAACCATCTCTTCATTGAAAGTAGCCCATTGTTCAGTTACCATTTTCTCCTGACATCCCTCAGTTCCAGTCTATCCAGCCTAGGTTTGTTCTTGCACCATTGACTTTGGCTCTCCACCAGTTGGTTATTCATACCCTGGGTTTTTTTTTCCACTATCCTAAACATTATAATACAATGATTACTGTCCCCAAATGCTCCTTCACTGACACATAGTCCACCTGGCCCAATTTGTTCCCAAGCTTGCATCCTATTTTGTTGAACTGGACATATATTACTGTAGGAAATTCTCCTGAACACAATCTAAGAATATTTGCCCCTTGCTTTTCTTTACACTACCACTATCCCAGTATTTATTCAAGCAATTAAAATTCCCCATTATAATTACTCTGTGATGTTTGCATCTCTCTGTAATTTCCTTGTAGACTCAATATCTTTCCCATTAGTTTGCTGGTTTATAGAGTATACCAAGCAAGTAATTGCATCCTTTATGTTCCTTAGTTCTAACCAAATCAGCTCTGATCTTGATCTCTCTGGGACATCCTCTTTCTGGAGTAACTACAACGCTCTTTTTAACCAATGCTTCAGCCCTCCTTTCTTCCATTTCCTGAATACTCTGTAATCAGGAACACTTCACACCCATTCCTGCCACATCTCAGTCAATAGCTGTGTCTTTTATCATCACAACATCATAATTCCACATGGCAATCTGTGCCTGAACTCACTGATCTTATTGACTATACTCTGGTGCATTCACATATGTGCAGTGTATCCTTGATTGAGACTCCAATTCTATCTTCCTTTCTGCAACTTCATCTATTAACATACCATTCTCTATTCCAACACTATCTGATGTTATATGTATCTCGTTGGCTATGAGGCTTTTCGGGATAACCTGCGATAGTGAAAGGAACTAGAAAAATTCAAATTCTCTTTTCTCTTTTACCCATGTTGGATGGTACGAGAAGAAAATGTTCATTCTCCTGTCACTTGCTTTTTGGTTAGTATTATGTCCATGCCTGACCTGCCCACAGAATTGCCCATGAACTAAGAAATTGTACGTTGCTCCATTTTTAGTTTTTATAGTTTTAAAAAGTTTTTCTAGAGTTTCAATTTCAAATAATCAGCAGCAAGCTTCCACGTTAAACAAGATAACAGTTAGGATATTGCAAAATTACTGAAGTTATTCAAGTGATGAGGATTAGCTAAAAATACAGTTACAAAGATTAAAAGTAGGTAAAGATAAAGGATACTTATAAAAGCAAAAGCAACATCAGTCTTTAAAATCTTTGCAGGCGTGTTATTTTTTGAAATTTCTTTTTCTGAAATGAAGGGGTTTGAAGATTGAATTTGGATTCAACAGCTCTGTTGGTTTACATAGTTGAATAGTCAGTGAATTTAGCAGGTTAGCAAGATGAGAGAGAGGGAGAGATAGTTATTTTTTCACTTTTCACTAGTTCCGTAGTTATGTCACTTACAAAGTGCCTGGACTGTTTCAACAGTGCAAGTTACTTTCTGAACGCTGACCATCTTGTGCTCCCTTTGGCTCGATACCCTCTCTGATAGGGTCTCCCAGAGTTCTTCTGCGAATTCTGCTTTCACAACCTGTCTTTATCACAGGCCAAATCAAATGGCGGTTATGTTATCTTCAAATGAGCCATTATTTCACTAAGCATTCTCCCAGAAGCTTTGAATTCTCTCACATGTTTAGAAGGACCCATTACGTTGTTTGAGGAATAATCGAATTCTAAAGGGCTGCCTATTGTGGCCGATGTTGATCTATTACAGCTCAAAGGCTTTGTAACAGATATTGTCTGCTGTGACTTGCATCTTGAAAGGATTTTTAAAACTTAACAGAGGGTTGTTTATCAAGTTACAGATTATAAAGTGGAAATGTTATTTTAACAAGAGATTTTCCTAACAATCTGCAAAATCATGAATTCACCGTTGTGGCAGCTAGCCTAAGACTTTGTCGCTGGGGCAGTGAGCAGAGAGCTCATGTAAACCCAGGGTCTGACATATTCAGGGAAATGAGAATCATTTCTGCATTTGGTTTCTCCAGTGTAGAGTAGGCCACATTGGGTGCAGCGAATACAATACACAAGATCCTCCTCCAATCTTGTGTACTGTATTTGTTGACCCCAACCTTCCTGCAGCCAGTCATTTCAACACAGTGTCCTGCTTGCATGCCCACATGTCTGTCCTCAGCATGCTGCAGTGTACCAGTGAATCACAACGCAAACTGGAGGAACAATGTCTCATCTCCACACCAGGCACTTTACAGCCTTCTGGACTTAATATTGAGTTCAACACCTTCAAATTGTGAACCAACTCCCATTTCTTCCTTTTTTTTAAAAGCTTTACTTGTTACATTCTCCCATTTCTTCCAGCTTTACTTGTTACATTTTCTGTTATCATGTCCTCTCTCCCATCCCCCCACCCCAGTGGGACTGTCTTCTCTTTCAAGTCTGACAGTTAGACACACCATTGTTCCGCCACTCCCACATTCCCATCACTTAATCTGAACTATCAACATCTTTCCTCCACCAGCACTCCGCACTCCACCAGCCCCACACCCCCTCGCAACTCTTCCATAAACGCTGTCCCCCTCCACACTTCACCTCAGCCCTTAAAAAGTCATCTAAAAACATTGGCTTGCTCTCTCTCCATGGATGCTATCTGCGTTGCCGTGATCTCCAGCATTTGTTGTTTTCAAATCACTTGTGGTCAAATCACTTGATCGGCTCCCTAACAACAACCACATTCTAGGGCAGGTTATATGGGAAGAAAGAATAGGGACTTGTGAGGAAGATACTGCAATAATGATAGGTGATTTTATTCCCAATTTTGGACAAAGATTGGCAAAGCAGTTTGAAAGCGGAGCTCTGGAGTTTTTTGGGATAATTTCTGAGCACAGCATTTTCTAGATCCAACCAGACAGCAGATATACTGGATCAAGTCGTGGAACGATTTATTATTCATTAATCATTAATTAGTTCTGAGTGCCCCCCAGATCAAATTTCATGTTGAGGGAGAAAGACGCGAGTTTTTAAAACGTGAATAAAGACAACTCTAAGGGGAAAGAAGACAGAGCTGACTAAAAGAAACTTGCAGAAGTATGGGATAGATCAGTAGAGATACAGAGACAGATATTTAAGGAGGTATTTCATTACACTGTTTGTCTTCAATGGGTTTAAATGGGCTGAGTGGCCTCCCAGTTACAAGAGGACAGGAACAGATTTTCCCTAAATACATATTAACTCCTGTGTTGTTTTTACAGGGTGCCAGAGGGCATTGACATTTCCTGCTCACCTGAAGGGAACACAGGCCAACATTCTCCCTGTGGATAACTGCAACTTCCTCGCCTTCACTGCCTGCATCTGGGCAAATCCAAGCAGGGCAATGGAGGAAGCAGTGCTCTTCTCCTACTGCACTGAAGAAAATGGCACCGGATTCCAGCTCTACCTCAGCCAAGGCTCAGTGTGGTTCACAGTGGACTCTGTGGAAGTACACACTCAGACAGGCCTCTGGGGAAAGTGGACACACTACTGCGGGATCTGGGATGGTGGCTCTGGGAACATCACGCTGGTAGCCAATGGTCAGGTGATGGCTTCACGCAGCCTGACCGCCCGGCTACGCACAATCCCTGGTGGAGGAGCTGTACAGCTGGGCCATGTGAGCACCAAATGCCAGGTGGGCGAAAACAGCAAGGTACCCACTGCATTTAGTGGAAAACTGACTGGCTTTAACCTGTGGGACGCAGCCATCACAGAGATGAAGGTCAGCCTTTTGGTGCAAAACAATGGGTGTGACTTCAAAGGGAACATGGTGGGGTGGGATGTTTCTCCAATAACTGTGGGGGCTGGTGTGCTGATCCAGTAGAGAAACATTCCGTTCCACTCCTTAACAGAACTTCATGTCACAGATTCAGAAAAAGAAATCCCTCCCTCCAAAAGAAAACTGAACTATGTTAATTCCTTACAGCAGACATTTTATTAAATGAAAAATGGTCTTGCATCTGGTCAAGCAGCCATTTTGAAAACTCCATTTCATTTGGTGCCTGGCCTATCCTATATTGCAAAACCAGTCATACACCACACAACAAAAAAACAGCTTAAACATTAAACAGAGGTTTTGAGTCAAGCAGCTGACATGCAGTCAGAAAGTATCACAGATTGCACTTGCTTGGGGTGCCATTTTTAACGGGACTCCTTCATTGCACCATGTTCCGTCTGGCTACCCAGGGTCTGCAGTGAAATCTATTCATGGACACACTACCCGGTTTGTGAAGATAGAAACCGGAAACGGATGTTTATTGTCCCCCATCCCAAATGATTTGGTGCCCCCTTCAGGTGAGTAATTTTGATGCAATGGGGATTTCTTTTATATATACACAATATTCTTACAAACTAGCATAACAAATAAACATTTTGCTTTTTAACATAACAGGATACAAAGTTTCCCAATTTAGAGCTTTGTGTAGTTGAAGTTATGCATGTTTAAGCCTATCTACATAAATGCATTGTGGATTTTCTGTCAGAAGTAGGATATTACTGCAAGAAGCTGATTTACAGAAACTGGACCCAACTGATTCATGCCCCTAACTCAATCGATACTATTCCCCCAACCACTTGGAGCGACTTCCATATTGCCCCCACTCACTGGGTGTTGAATTCCTGATGGAATTTCTTGGTGACAATTTTTATTGATTGTCCGAAGCTCTAGTCGCCCCTTGAGGAAACATCTTCTCTACGTTCATCCTTTGTCACTTTGCCTTCATAATGTTTGTCACCTCCAACAGGTCACCCCCTCAGCTACAGAAATAAGCCCCACCATGTCAGGTGATCACTTAGTGGTAATGCCAACAGACTAGCAACCCAAAGACAGGCTAATGCTCTGGGGACATGTGTTCAAATCCTACCATGGCATCTGGTGGAATTTAAATTTGATTAAAGAATCTGGAATTAAAAGTTAGTCTCAATAACAGGGACTATGAAAAGATCACCAGTTGCTGCAAGAAACTACCTGATTCACTGATGTCCTTTAGGGATTGAAATCTACCTTACCAGGTCTGGACCTACATGTGACTTTAATTTGGTTGATTCTGAACTGCCCTCTGAAGTGGCTGATTAAAGCCACCCTGTTCAAAGGGCAATTAGGGCAACAAATGCTAACTGTGCCAGCGATGCCCAAATCCCATGAAAGAGTAACAAAAACAAAAGATGATAGCTCAGTCCAGAAAATATTAGGGAGCACAGGTAACCTTTTCTAAGGTTGAACACATTGAGGAACAACACCTCTGGGTTAAACAAATCGGACAAAATCAACTGGTAAAACAGAAAAACTCAGTCCCCAACAACTCGGATGCTCTTTTAAGTTCAGCCACATATGTTTTATTAAACATTTCAAATAGACAAAAATAATCAACTATTTAAATATATTTGCCAAATGCACATTATTTGAATAAAAAGGACTGCCACAAAATATGTGTATCCTCTCTCTCACGTTGTGTATATTAATAATGATAGGCACTTTCTGTCTCCAAAGCATCACTTCGTGTGGTAATCACTGTTCACATTTACTCCCAGGAACAAAACACTGTGCAGGCTGGAAATCTGAAGACAGAAATATCACTGAGTCTCAATGGTGCCTTGTGGGGTGGGTGGGGAAAGAGAGAGAAATAGAAAGAATGAGGGGTATTAAAGAGCAGGGTTGAAGGAACAGGACAGAACGTGGTGGGGGTGGGCCAGGAGAGAAGCTCAGTATTAGTAAGTCTGCAGAGCATGTGTGAGCTGTTTGAGGCACATGATAGTGACAGGCTATCGTAGGGGAGAGGGGTGAGGAGTGAGAGTGTGAGAGAGAGAGACAGAAACAGAAACAGAGACAGAGAGAGAGACAGACAGACAGACAGACGATGCACAGCTATTATCCAGGGAAGACACCTCACTGTGCATGAGGGCAAGGTAAACTTGACTGCAATGCCTCAGTGGCTGAACAGCTCCCCATTACGTGCTGCCTGGGCTGAGGTAAAGAACAAACCAGTTTGTTCTCCAGCAGGAGGGGCTATACATTCATGCATACAAGCTATTGATGATGAACCATGAAGAACAAACTGGACAAACGCTTTCCAAGTTCCCTAAATCAATCAGCTCTCTACTTCAAAATAATTCAAAGATGCACTGGGAAAGCAAATCCTCTGAGGCTCAGTTTATGTGCTCTTCTGTTAGCAGTTGCTATTGATAAGTCATTAGATTTATAGATCTTGGCTGGTTTTTGTGGGGTTGAGTGTAGGAGAGGTGATGTATTGACCTGAGCACCGTGGGAGGCCTCATGCATCCTGTTGGAAGAGGGAAGGACCAGAAGAAACCTGGAACAGCCAATGGCCTGACTCAGAAGGCACTGTCCAGCTTGTTCCATCATCTCAGTTAACTTCACAAATAATCTTCAAAGAAACAAGCCCCTGCCATCAATGCAAAACGATAAACAAGGTGTTGGCTGAGTGGAAGCCTGGGCAGGGGGCAGGTAGGCTTACAGTCCTCACGGTGCAATACACGTTGACCACGCACTCAGGACCAGGCACGGCTTCAAACAGCCAAGCTCTGTCTCACATATACTGTGGGCTTGACACGCTGTCCATTTCAACCTCAATGGAAACGATGTGGTGCCCAGGGATCATGGCCAGACCCAGCACTCGTGGCTCACCATGTGCCAAGGAATCTGCAGTCAAATAAAGTACACATCATTCCTCTTGGCCTCACCTTCTGCAGAAACAGATTACAAGCTCGGAAGAATCATGTTCAATCTTTGCAATGTCCTCAAAATATGGCTCTGGCCACCACATACAAGATGGAGATATACCATTGTTGCAGGCAATGTCGGAGAGAGCCTTAAGGCTGGTGACGATTCTCAACAACTTTCATTGGTCAATATGCTTAGACCCCACTTTGTGCTCCCACACTATAGGCAAGATGTGAGAGTCCAAGAAAGGGTGCGGAAATCCAATCCCTACAGTGTGGAAGCAGGCCAATTCGCCCATTGATTCTGCACCAATCCTCTGAAGAGCCTCATCCCACCCAGATCCATTCCTCCCTGCCCTATCCCCATAACCCTGCATTTACCCTGGCTAACCCACCTAGCCTGCACTTTTCTGGACACTTCGGGCAATTTTGCATGGCCAATCCACCTAACCTGCACATCTTTGGACTGTGCATGTGCTGAGGCAGCACATGCTAACCACTGAGCCACCGTGCCAAGATTTCTCCCGAATGATTCCAGGGATAAGGGGGCTTTAGTGATGAGATTGGGATGGAGAAGCTGGGCTTGTTCTCCTTAGAGCAAAAGAGATTGAGCGGAAATTTGATTGAGATATTTGAGGCAATAGGTGGTTTGAATAAGACAGGCAAAGAAAAGCTACACCCATTCGCTGATTGTCAATGTTCATCGATGTGAGGTTTTAGGACAGAAAAACACCTGAACCAGATGCCTGTTGCTGACCCACCCTCACAGGTTCCTGTCATTTACCACCCCCATCTGGCAGGTTCCTGTTCTTTATGCTCCTCCCAACCCCAGGCAGGTTCCTGTCCCTCACCACCACCACCCCGCCCCCCTTGTCCCTCACCACCACCCCCCCGCCCCCCTTGTCCCTCCCCCCCCCCCCCCCCCCCCCCCCCCCCACCATACTGCCTCTGCCTCTGCAGATTGCTATTCTTTACCCTCTCCCTGCACTCCTCTTCCACCCACAGGTGCCTGTTATTTATCCTCTTTCCACCCTCCTCATAGGTCTTGTCACTCACTCTGGAACACTTCCCCAAGTCTCTCATCCTCCAGTCACAAGCTACTGTTTACCTGTCGGTTTCAGGTACTCTTGGGCTGAGCCCAAAATGACGTTGCAGTCCCGGTCGGTGCACAGGAAGAGACCAATCAATGTCCTGCCATCAGTCATTTGGATCCTCATGCTTTTGTTCAGTAAGCTCTCCAACATCTGCCTGGAGTTTGAGGCCACATTGCTGTCTGCCATATCCTGCCTGAAGAAACAACAGACAAGGTCATTGGGATCTGCAGCTTGCTAACTCTCGGCTCATCACCCAAGCTCACAGTAACTCACTGTGTTACCTGCATACATTCACAATACAATAACCCAACAGTCAGCATCTCAGGAAGCCTTGCCTTCCACTCCCTTTGGCCCTTCACAGCCAAAGCTGCTAATGTGAATGCCAATATGCACATAGCATGATCCCACACCAACCCAAAATCTGTTTCAATGTTACTGACACAGGGATAAAGGCAACGACAGGTTGAATGGACATTTCTTGCAGCATTCTCCAGTACTATTGGAATGAGCTGTTCAAGACTTGCACATGTGCACACACTCAGAAGCACAATAACATGTGTACAGTCATAAGCACATGTACACAATCATAATAATATGCACATACTACTGCATCTATGCACACGCTGGTCACAAATGGGGACACATGGAGTCCCCACTCGCCTGATGCCCTCAACCTCCAGTGATCGCGATCACCACCCCCATCATTCTTCACCTCAATGGCCTCTTACCCCTGGGCATCTTCACTCTAATAGCCAGTCCTTCACGATGCCCCCTCTCATCTTCCCCACTCAAGCAGTTCCCCCAACTCCTGATTCAACCCGCACCAGCGTTCATTCTCTTTCACCCCACTCCAAGTTTCTTCCCCTGATCTGCAGGTTCTGCTGCTTCCTATGCCCCAGTTTCCCTCACTCCCCTGGCTTCCCCTCTATCCCCAGTTCATTCTCCCAACATACTCCATCCCCAGGTTTCTCCCAACCCCACTGCCAGGTTCTACGCCTGGCCACCACCTCCCAATCACCAGGTTTCTACTGCATATCTCCCCCCTCATTCCCTCCACCCCCAGTTCCTCCAGCTCTCTCCACTATCCTCTGGATGCCCCCCTTCCCACTATAACCCAAATCCACATTCTCCACCCACCTATCCCATTCCTTCCTACTTTCTCCCCAACCTCCTGGTTTGATCCCCCTCCCACTTATGCCCCAATTCCCATCCCTTCTCTATTCCACTAGTTATCTCCTCCATCCACTGTACATCCCAACCCCAATTCCCCTGTTCATCCCTCCCAGTCATCCCCCAATTCTAACCCTCCCCACCCTACCACCTATCTCTCTTCCTTTCTCTCCCCAGGCTCCCCCAACCCAACGTCCTTGCCCCATCTCCCAGTTCCCTTTCCTCTCTGCATCCTCCCCTTGTCCCCAAATCCTAAATCCCTCCTCCCACTATCCCACAGATCCCCTCCAACCCCAGGTCTCTTCCTTCCTCACCCTGTTCTCCTTCATCTCCCATGCACTCCCTCCCCTCCACTCACCCCATTCTCCCAACCTACTCCCCTGGTTCCTCCCACACCCCAGTGCCTTCTCCCCCTCCTCCTACTCCCAGTGTCCTCTCATCCCCAGCCCCCTACCTTCTCCCTTGTGCCCTCTTCCTCTTCTTCCCCCCCATTATCACCATCCCTACTCTTTCACCCCATCTCCTTTTTACTTCCCACCCCTCCCTCTCTGCCTGCCTTCTCCCCCATCTTCCAAGGTCCTGCCAACCCATTCCCACCACCATCTCTCCCAGCTCCCTCCCTCCTCCTGCCCTCTCCAACTCACCCAATCCCCTGGTTTCGTCCTGTCCTATTTCCTTCGCCCTCTCTCACTCCTTTGCATGCCCAATCATTCCCAGGTCTGCCTCATCATACTCTGGTCCAATTTCCACCTCACCCCTGTCCCATCTTCATGATCACACCCCATTACGTCCTTCTGCCCAACTCCCCCATCACATGCCAGTGCGACCAATCTCCCTGCCGACCTCCCCATCACACACCAGAAAGCCCTCCAGCCCATCTCCCCCATCACACTCCACTGCCACCCACCCCCATACCCCAGTTATTCCCATCACACCCCAGTTCCTGCCATCTTTCCACCATCTCTCTCCCTTCACCTTACTGATTTGAATGAGGTCAGCCGGGTGGACCTGATAAAATACAAGTTCCCTGACTGGGGCTGTCAATGTTGTGGTTGGTTGGCTCGCCGAGCTGGCTCATTGTTGTTCCGCAAACGTTTCATTACCCCGCTAGGTAACATGATAAATGCAGCCTCCGATGAAGCGCCGTTGTGATTTCCCGCCTATTATTTAAACTCTGGAGTCCGTTGAGCTGGGTTACCTCACTTCCGGTTTTCCTTCTCAGTGGAGTGTCTATGGGGTCAAGCTCTATGTGTTTTTTGATGGCTTTCTTCGTGGAGTACCAGGCTTCTAGGAACTTCCGTGTTTGTCCCTGCTTTGTTTGTCTCAGGATCTTGGTGCTGTCCCAGTCAAATTGGTGGTTCTCCTTATTCATGCGGAGAGAGATGAGTGAGTATTGGTCATGTCTTTTTGTAGCCAACTGGTGTTCATGTACCCTTGTTGTTAATTTCCTTCCTGTTTGTCCAACGTAGTGTTTGTCACAGTCTCGCAGGGAATCCTGTATATGACACTGGTCCTGTCCGTAGTGGGTCTTTGGTTCGGTTGAGCAATTGTCGTAGGGTTGATATGGGTTTGCGTGCTACTCTGATGCCCAGTGGTCATTCAGTCTTGTGGTTAGTTCCGATGTATTCCTGATGTAAGGTAACGTGATGAGTGTGTTGGAGAGTGTGGGACAAGCAAAGCAGAGACAAGCACGGGAATTCCTAGAAGCCTGGTACTCCACAAAGAAAGCCGTCAATAAACACCTAGAACTAGACCCCTTCTATACTCCATTGCGAAGGAAAATTTGAAAGTGAGGTAATCCAGCTCAATGGACCCCAGAGTTTAAATAACAGGTGGGAAAACACAACAGTGCTTCATTGGAGGCTGCATTTATGATGTTACCTAGCAGGGTAATGAAATGTCTGCGGAAAAACAACGAACCAGCTCAGCAAGCCAACCAATCACAACATCCACAACCCGACCTACAAATCTACTGTAAAACCTTGGGGCTGTTAACGTGATCCAATCAAGAGCCTGGATGACAGACATAAACAGGAGTGTCAGAGATAACACAGTAGGCCAGGCAGCATCAGAGAAGCAGGAAAGTTGACGTTTCGGGTCGGGACCTGGTCATTCTAGGAGCTGGCTCAGTGTACTGTACTATACACGTAAATAAAGGATGACTTGGTGAGGGGATACCAGTCTTTATGGAGTTATTTCAGTTATCACTTTTGCTGTTTCTCTCCTCTCCCCATGACTACTCCCCCCCCCCCCCTCTCTTTCCTGTCTCCCCCACTACCCCCCCATCTCCCTTCCCATTTCCCTCACCCCCCACAGTGTCTCTGTCCCCACCTCGCCACTGTCTCTCCGTCCACCCCCTCGCCATTCCCCCCTCCACCGCTCTG